AGCTCACATTTGGTATCAGCTTGTGTGAGGGAGAGCTGAGTGGTCATTAAGTTCATGTGAGTTGAGTTTATATAAGTGATCAAAATATTCCCTGTTTATTTAGAATGTAGCTAACACTGGCCTAATAAGTATAAACTATATTAAGTTTGCTTTTGCCACTACAGTATCATCCAGTCATAAACTCAAATTATATATCTCTTAAATTGACCCATTTGGAATAAATTTTAAAGATGTTTACTCATATGAAATAAGCAAGACAACAATGTACAGTAAAACTAAAAGCAAAAGCAGTACATTCAAAATGTTAACTATAAAAATGTGATTAAAGATGCAAGCATTTAAGTACACATAATGCAGAAAATTGCCATAAGATGATCATACAATTTATATGTAAAATTTCAATATAACTGTCCTATATATATTTAGTGGAATATTACAGTGCAATATCAAAATTGTGCTTAGTAATGTTTCACACTAGTAATGAGTGAGTAAGTACAGACCCATGTGAACATTTCATTTCCTCACTCTGATATTACTTTATTAAGGTGAGTTACTGTGAAATCTGAGCTTTTTGGAGCATGTATTATAAATGTGTAATGTATAAAAATATATATATATACATATATGCATACACACAAAAGTAATGGCACAGTTTGCAATTTCATGGTTTTCTAAATATGTTTGCCATGAAATATGATTTGATTTTCACAAATATCAAGAAACAATATTGATAAACTGATAAAACAGAGTATTTTATGTTTTTACTGAATGCACCCATTAAAAAGATAAAGTGATCATGTTAAAAGTAATGGCAACAGTGTTTTAATAACTGGTTGAACCACCTTTGGCAGTAGTAACCTCAAGCAAGTGTTTCCTGTAGTTGTGAATTAGAGCTGTGCAATGTTCAGGAAGAATTTTGGACCATCTGTCCTTACAAGGTGGTCTTTGGCAAACCTCAGGCGTGCTACAATGTTGTTTTTGGAGAGCATTAGCTTCCTCCATGGTGTCCTTCCATGTATTCCATGCCTGTTCAATATTTGGTTGACTCATGAACAGATGTTAATGAACTCCAATGAATCCTTCAAGTCTTTAGCTGTTACTTTTTTTTTAGCATTCTGCATTGTGTCTTTGGAGTGATCTTGGCTGGATGCCACAGTACCAAATCGTCTCCTTTCACAGACAATATGTCTAACTGTGGACTGAGTGACATCATTATCTTAAATGTGAGTGATTCTACACTGCCACTAGGAGGTGTATACATAAAAGATGAGAAAGGATATTCTATATTTCATTCAAAATCAACAAATCCCATGAAAAGACCCAGTCAACAGTGTGGTAGTCTGTCTCTCAATATTTTCTGACTTCCCTCGGCCATAAGCCCAGTGGTCCCTACTGAAGGTGGGAATTTTCAAACCAGATACATACAATATCTGTTAGTTGGATGCATTTGTTGTTGGTTGTCGGTCTTTTCATGGGAGTTGTTGACAGTGAGAAATGATAATCCACCCTAACCTACCCATAGTCACAAACACACACATTATTGTCATATTGAACCTGGCAATTCATTAAAATGAAGGGTTTACTGTTTCATGCCAACCTACGGCCCCTGCTCTCTCCCTGTCTCTCCTGCTTCCATACAATGATGCAGCTTGAGCTTATGAAAGATTCCTCTAAGAAGCAGAGATGAATGGATGTTGCTGATTTGGCCAAACACTAACAGCTGAGGCTCCATTAGTGCACATGCTAGAGAGATGGATGAGCAGGGACAAATTGGAGTTTCAGAATTATTAAACAGGAAGTTAAATGTGAGGGTGTACTGAGATTTATGTGTATACAGAAATACGATAAGTGCTTCATGATTATGATTAATTCCTGACATACAAGAGTTATGTTTATTTATATAAAATAACATTATCTTATTCAAATGGACAGGAAATTATTCAGGGTTTAGATATTAATGTATGAATGGATCCCTTCATTTTACAAAGGTGATGTGTCACAGGAGAGTACACAGGAGAATGGGAAACAGCATGCTTTGTGGACAGAAATTATACTGTATGTATTTCTGTGATTTGATTTTAGAGAAGGGAACAGAAGTGAATCTGCATGTGGGGAGAAGCCTTTATGGTGTTTTGCTCTGACCTTTGATCTCCAAAAACCGCTGAAAATAATTATGTCCTTTCTACAGTACATGTATACAGCAGACGGGGCATCAGAGCTGAATGTAATTTCTCTATGAAAGTGATAGTAATTGTAAAGCAGTACCATTTTGGTAAATGCTTAGTGTGAATATAGGCTTATGCAAGGATGAAGACATTCAAGAGTTACAATAAACATGACCTGCTAACATGTAGGGCTGCAGCCAGGTTTTTGGTCCCTCAGTTCACCCCATCTCCTCATAAAAGTCTGACAGGACAACAAGAGTAGCTTCTCAATTATTTTGCAACGGTTTGATTTTTCATTAAGTAGCAGTAAAGGTACAGTAACAGTTTCAGTAGTAATGCTAGTAGGAGAAATAGTAATACCAGTAACTGGAACTGTAATGGTAGAATTAGTATAAACAGAAGTAGCAGATGTGGTAGATGTAATAGCAATAGCATTAGGAGTAGGAGTAGCAGTAGTAGTAGCAGAAATTGAAGTAGTACAGGAGCAGTAGAGGTAAATAGAAGTAATGGTACCACCAGCAGTAAGTAGCAGTAGCACAAGCAGTAGTATTAGAAGTAGCAGCAGTAATGTTTTGAGTAGCTGCAGCAATAGCGCCAGCAGCAGAGGTATTAGCAGGAACAGGCCAGTGGAAGTTGTGGCAAAAGGAGTTATGGAAAAAATAGTAGGCTACTAGTAGAAGAAAAGTGGAAATAGAAGTTATATGTAGCAAGAATAGTAAAAGCAATGCTACTGGCACCGGAACTGTTAGTATCAGCAGCGCTAGTGGTAGCAGTTGTTGTAGTAGCAGAAGAAGAAGCAGTTACAGCAGCAGTAGAAGTACAAGTGGCATCAACAGAATCAGTAGGAGTAGAAATAGCAGTGGAAATAGACACAGTAGAAGTAGCTGCAGTATATTTAGTAGCAGTAGGTTTAAAAATAGCAGCAGAATTATTTTAGTAGTATGAGCAGAGGTAGTAGCAAGAGTATTAGTAGGAGCAGAAACAGCAGTAGTGGTGGTAGTAGTAGCAGCAGCAGCATTAGGAGCAGTAGTAGATGTATTAACAGAACCAGTAGCAGTAGTATTAAAAGTATTATAATTAACAATATTAGTAATAGCAAAACTAGCAATAGCCTATTGGCTGGATCAGTGCTAGTAGCAATAGTTGAAGCAATAGCAGTAGTACTACAGGTGAGAGTAACAGTAGTAGTGGCAGTATCAGTAAAAGCAGTAGTGCTTGGTGGTGTGTGCTAGTGGATGTCTCTGGATCGTAAACTGAATGTGAGCTAAGCGCTGGTAGGGGATCACAATACTGTACATGTAGAGATAAAAAGCTCTCCACCACTTTGTCCTTATGACCATTTCTGTGAAGTTATTTTCAGATGCCTTATAATGATAAACACTCAGTACTTATACATGCTGTTGGAGCTGAAGGCTGAAATAGATCAGACCCCTCTATAGCAGCATTCATCTGACCACTGAACACACTAACTGTGGGCTGCCCATCACTGCAGATGGTCAGCCATCAAGGCCATTGAGGCATCCTCAAAGGAAGGCACAGCTGCAACACACACACACACGCATGCATTCAAAGGGTGCACACACCCTCTCCTCTTCCAGCTTGGACCAAGACCAGTAATCTCCATCAGAACCTGCCTGTGTATTATCAGCTGCAGGGGGAATGAGTGGAAACTTGAGTTTTGTCTAAAGCAGATTTTATGGCTAATTTTGATGTTGGTCAAAAACATCTTCACCAAGAAACAAGAATCAGCTGATTGTTTGAATGGGAGTTAAATGCGTCAACAGGCATTTGAATAACAAATTAAACTACCATGATTCATAATGTGAATGATGCAGCTTAATACCCGTTCATCATGTTTCAAATTGAACAAAATCTCTCCTGACTCCCTCTCATGTTTACTGAAAATATTTCTAATTTCATGCTTATGTTTGCTTAATTGATTAAATCAGTGGGTCTCAAATTGAAATCTGAGGAATCGCAAAATGATTGTAGTAAAAAAAATATACAGCGTGCCAAGTTAATTATATATATACATATATATATATACACTATATTCTAGAAAATTGAAAAGTTTGTCCTCGAAGTTTTGATTTTAACCATCAAACAAGAACCTAGAACTAAATGTATCAGGCTTTAATAATAATAATAATAATAATAATAATAATAATAATAATGGTGAAAACATTTAGCTGTTGGATTTTTTAAAACCCTCAAATATCCGCCACAAAAAACTGAAACGCACATCGATATCAAACACTTATAGGTATCGGGTCTTTAAATTTTGTTGCTAATGTTGAGTATCTAATCTAATAAATGACTTTGTTTATATGCCCCTCCTTATGGTGCCTACTCCATAAAGTGGGTCATGTTCTGTTAAAGCCACTGAGATCCTGTTTTGGGCCTATATCAAAATTTAAATATAGGACGGTGATTCTGTTCTTAAATTGTGCATAGACTAGCTACTGTAAGTTCATCTGCAGGTCACCTATTGTTCCTGGATATATTGGCTACACGAGAGCTCCACTTAAGCGTTTAGAACATGTACTGTATGTGTGCTATTCAGCGTCATGCGCCCCTTTTCTGTAAAATAGTATGACAACAAGCAGTCTACAGCCACAGTGTGTTCACACACAGAGAGACGGTGAAGCTCTGCGTGCCTTAACAAACACTCGCTTCCATAATAGCAAGGAAATGGCTCGATGCCCTTGTTCGCCCTTTGGTTAAATGAACAGTCACCACAGAGCAGCCTAATGGATTTGTCACAGCATGCTCTGTTGGAAATGCGCACTGCTGTTTTAAGAACTTTAGCCTCTGAGTTTATTATTTTATTCTTACCTTTCCGGATGAGATCTTCGATTTCTTGGTCGAAACCAAGCCGATGGCATTTCCTCCACAGCCCCATGTTGGTCGAGTTATACTGCCTGCTGCACTCATCCGCAGCGCTCATGGCAAACAGCTGCCGCCGGTTCCGGGCCCGCAGCTTTTTTTTGGCAGGTGTGCTCCGGCTGCCGCGCAGCGGCAGGCTGTTGTTGGGGATGTAGATGAAGCCAGGGTCCTTGCGGCGGCTAGAAAAGCTTCTGCACCGCTCCCTGTACCTCCTGGCGTCTGTCTCGTACCAATGATCAGAGCACATCGCCACGGCCAGCATGCCCAGGGCGCAAAGAGAAAGAGAGAGCCCGGCGTAGAGCAATAACTTTCCGGCAGCCATGCTCGTTTGTCACAGCCGCATCAGCACCTCGACAGACGGACAGCTCCTCTGCGGCTTCCCCGCTAGTTCAGCTCACATCACCCATAGAGAGCAGCGTCGGGACCATTATCGAGGAGGTGTTGTGCGAAAAAAAAAAAGGCAAACCTTTCCGGAAGCACGCCTCGCTGGTCAAATAAAATGTGAATTCCCTGTATTGCTGTGTTTTCGGCTACAGTGCCCACGTCTTTTCCTGCGTGCGCGGCGCTGCAGCAGCTCGGCGGAGACACAGAAGGCTTATCTCAGCCCCGGATCCTCAGCGTCCATCTGTCTGAGCAGGGCGACACCAACATGCACGAAACATCAGCACAGCATTCAGCATGCAAGTCGTTAATCTAGCATATACTAGGCTATATTTCACACAAAATATACCCTTCCTGCATAACCCACCAATAAAGTGAAAGCAACGAAAGCGTAAAAACAAAGAGAGAATCGTGCGGCTGCATAGCGGAACACTACTGTATTAACAAATAAAAGGTGTCACTCCAAACCAGACCTATTTTACAACTCTTATGATGTGAACAGCTTAATTTAAAGTAAATGTACCTGATGTATCCAAGCAGAGCCGATGAAGACCGCAGTCCATTAGCACCAGGAGAGTGAGAGATCAGCCAGCAGTCAGCATCCACAGCACGTCTGGGATGACGGCAGCTGCTACAGAGCAGACCTGTCCATGAACCAATCAACACCAGTCTGACTGCGGAGCGCCGCGTTAGCTTATAGGCAGCGTGATAGTTGGCTGAACAATCATCTACTACCACCACAGCTTACTGTTAACTAACGCTATTGCTGTTATGTCTCACTATTCTTTGTACTCAAATCCTGTATTGTACACAATCAGTGGCCGCAACAGTATCGGATGTAGAATTTTACTTTAAATTGCAGACATGTTAACTAAAGCGATTTTAAACAGGGCAGAACCTTGATTAGGCCAGGCAAAGCGTATAGCTGTCCTGGAGCCACGGACCCCCCCAGAGGGCCAGAGTTTCCAGGTTCACCATGCAGCACTTAATTGTGGGTAAATGAATTTAAACTTTACTTGGTGTTAGTGCAAACTGCACATTATAAACTAAAGTAAGAGTAAAATTTTGAGGCCCTGAATTAAAACTGAATTTAAAGCAGGGGTTTTCAGCTGATTGTGACCCAGGGACCACCATTCTGAATAAGAAGCAACCTGAAAAAAACAGAAAAAATCAACTGGACTAGATTTCTAGGTCAAAGACATTTCACCTCTTCATCAGTTCTGCCCAGTTCTGTGCAGAACTGATGAAGCCTGATGAAGAAGTATTTTCACTGTTAATGGGTAAATGTCCAATAATAAAGCTTAAGAATATTTAATATTTTGTTTGCTAAGATTTAATTAGGGGCTAATCTAAGCAGACCTCATCACAACTGCATGGGTGTGGTTTAATTAGATTTGACTGTCAGTAACCATAAAAACCATCAGCTGCCATTAACTCTGATTCAGGTACATCTGATTGAGGTACATCACATTTTTCTATGGGCTCCACCCCAAAAAACAGGGCGGGGTGTACACACACACACACACACACACACACACACACACACACACACACATACAATCTATAAAAAAAAAAAACTGAAATCTCTGGTTTGACCTTCCCTTGTAATTATGACACAGTAAGCCAGAATTATGACAAAGATCTCATACTTGTGAGATCCAGATCTTGACATCTTATATATATATATAATTAAAACATCAAAATCACACTTATGAGACAGTCAATTTGTTTCTTTTGTGAATGCAAAGCACTTTCATACGCTTCACACAACCAAATTTGTTCAAATATGAGAAGAAATGTGTTATTGGTGCTTTTATTACCATGAGTACAATAACTCCTTATGCTTTCAGAGGTGAGATTATATATATTCAGTAGATTTTATAGCCTAAACAGATAATTTAATGTATGTACAGTCTTTCAAATAAAAGCTAAGTTAAAATTGAATATCTGCTGAACTGAAATCACTGATTTTACTGTATCATATCATACAAATTTTGCAGTATCATTTTTGCATCTAATTATCAACCATGTATTGAGATACATGTCAAATTGTGTGAGTGGAAGAGATACACACCCCTAATGTCATTGTATAGGGAGAAGGTCTGTGTTTCTTTGTGAGGAGAACAACATCTTCAGGATAGACAACTGTGCAAGGCTGGATGGACTGCATAGTGAAAGCATGTGATAGTTCAGCTGGGTCTAATTATTGATCGACAATTTGTTGCCGGATGTGGGCAGAGACTGGGAACAGCCTTGGAGAAAGAAGAGACAAAGGCAGAACTGGAGAAGCCAGAGGAAACTACGGAGGTGGCGGATGAGCTAAATGCATCAGAGGATGTGAAAACATAAAGTGGTGATGAAAGAGAAACTTTCAGTTGAGAAAGCGGTGGAAGCCAGAGATGCTCACAAGTAATTTTTTTGCAAGTCTAAGTCAAATCTCAAGTCTTTGAGTGCAAGTCCAAGTCAATTCTCAAGTTCTTTGTGGTTGTAATGAGTGTCCTGTCATCTGCTTAGAACACTGCATTGCTATATCCAAGACAGTCAAAGCATATACTGCATTATCATCACTCCATCATCTATTAGCATACAGTATCAGCATTGATAATTTTTTTGTTTGGTAGATAGTATATATAAAAATGGATACTGAGAGTTACTCAGGGTAACAGGGAAATATTGCTAAAATTATAGGCATGCAATAACAACTGTAACCTGTTTTTCAATAAAGGTCAAGAGTACAAGCTACTGTGGAATAAAATTAACTCTCAAACTAATGACATTTTATAATCTACCATAAATTAAAATGTTTCTGTAGCTTCTCAAACCCAGTGTAATGGTAATCTAATAAGCCTGTAACATTACATGGTCAACAGTAAACCTGTAATCTGCCTGTAGCCCATGTTAATAATTAACAAGGTCTTTCTGGAGAAGTGGATGTTGTTGCTTGGTGGAGCCATGGGGGCACCCAACAGGGCAGGAGCTGGCAACTCAGTGGCTGTGGGAGCAAGGTGCAGCCCAAAGGATAGAAGAGAAGACAAAGGACAGGTGGTGCCAGGAAAGTAGGAAAACCAGTGAGCAGCCTGGTGCCAGATGAGAAGAATGAGGGAGAACGAGATGAAAAGATGACAGGATGAGTAGGCAGCCTGGTGCCCAAGACAGAAGGAACGAGGAACATCTCTTGGAAAGAGGAGTGGATGCAGAAACTGCCTGTTGCTCTGCTTGGGAGGCCTTGGCAGAAGGAGGAAACAGAACTGTTGTGGATGCAGAAACTGCCTGTTGCTCTGATTGGGAGGCCTTGGCAGAAGGAGGACACAGAATTGTCAAGTTTGCAACGATGCTGCGGAAATAATTGTTGTCGACTGGGGGAGTGACGTCTGTATGGGCATGAGAGTTTGAAGTGTAGTGCGAGGGTTTGGTAATGTGGAGGATGAGGGTAGTTGAAAAGTGATGCCGTGAAGTCTGACCTGCAAAATGGGTTTCGAAAGAAAATGTTTCTTTCCTTTGGTTCTCTCTGAAGCACATTGGATCAAAGAGTGACAACATCTCCTCCAAGGAAGGCGGTCAAATGTCCAGGTGATTTCTTTGAATAAAGTTTAGGCAGAGTACAAGAGGAAAGAGTTGGAATACAGTAGCTTTATTATCAGACCTATAGAAAGGAAAATGGTACTCTTTAGCCCACTCCGTGAAGACCCACAACGGTCTGGTTGGAGATTAAGTTCTGAGGCCTGGTGGGGGAAGAGCATGAAGGTGTATGAGCATGAGTGTGGGACAAATGATGAATTTTTTTTTTTCAAAGAAGGCATGATTACCTGCCAGAGAAGTAGTGGAGGCCGCTGCAGTCTGCTACAACAGGATGCTGTGCAACTTGCGGGACATTGCAGGTAGTGTAGCAGCATCAGCAGTATTACCTTTGGATACTGAAGTTGAGCCGGTCCCTCAATGGATGAGAAAGTTTTTAATCCAATGGAGAAATAGACAATCTGGGCCTTGCTATAAAAAGTGGAAGAGTCTTTCCTAGGTGGGTTAAATATGATTGGAAGAGGAAGGGGTTTGTGCTTTCGGGTATGGTCCTGCTCCTGAGCTTCAGATGAAAATCTCCAGTATATTGAATTTCCCTTTGGTGCTAGACAATTACAAAGGTACAAAAAATGCACAAAGATTCAGAGTTCCACGATAACTTTGACATTAGACACACGGTTTATGCATGAACCATCAGTCCATCTGTTTGTTCTGTTACAGAAAGTGCAGCATTGTTTCTGTCATGAAGCAGGAACTTCACCTCTTCTATAGATCTCCTCTCGGACCTCCACTTTTAAATTGTAGTGATACACTGGTGTACACCAAGACACTGTGATGTCACTGCTGGGTGTAGTCACAGGTGCAAGGGAGCACAAACACTGCACTGATGGTAACTTCCTCCCTGAACTCTGTGTGCAGCTTCACACTTTGGCTCCATCTGATGGTCACATTTGGGCATAGTAAGTACTGTATTTTCTTTTACTCAGCACACCTGAGTTGTGAGGGGTGGGGTGGGGTAATAAGAGGATGGTTTTATGGTTTATATATCAAGCTTTGAATGAATGTTAGTTTATTTAGTCAGTCTTTGCCCATTTGTTCTGTTTGCAGAACAAACTGAGCAGGTTAAGTAGGGTGGAGCTAATGAGTGCAAAGCATGGTTAAGTAGGGTGGAGCTAATGAGTGCCAGTTGTGGGCAATTACACAAGTGCAAAGCAGTGAACAGTCAGAGATAAAGCAGGGTGAGAGTAGCCTTCCTGAGACCAGGAAGTGGTGCAGGACATGTCACAGTGGGATAAATTAACATCATGCTGCCAGATTTTTCAGTCCAACATAGTAGGTTGTGGAAATGCGCCTTGACATCGGTTGCCACTTGCCATTAAATAAAACAAAGAAGAAAAAGATTTTTCAGTCCAGCTCTAGGGACAGCAGAGCCAGCCAAGGCAAAAGTGAACTAAACACCTACTTAGGGCCACTGTGCCAGCCAGAGGGCCTCTATTACCACTTGAAATTTCCCACAAGAGAGCTTGTTTATGCATATGTGCACTGTACTGGCACAGTTTGTCAGACCCTAATGTTAGATTACATGGAAAAAGCAGCAAAAAAGCAAAATGTTGCTAAAAAAGGACATATCTCTCTTGAGCAGAGAAAAGAAATGTGAAGCTAAAGAGTGGGGAAAAATATCATGGCTAATTACAGTATTTTACTTCTGTGAAAGTCTGGGGTGGCACAGCGGTGAGGTGATTTGGTGCTTGCCTCACAACAAGAAGGTTCCAGGTTTGAGCCCTGGCCAATCCAGTGCTCTGCAGAGTTGTTGTGCCTGCTTGGGTTTTCTCCGGGTGCTCTAGTTTCCTCCCACAGTCCAAAGACATGCAGCTTAGGTTGACTGGCGACTCTAAAAACTAGACATTATCCGGAACGGCATCCAGCATAAAACATGTCAAGTTTAACATGCAAATCATCAGTTGGGTGGCTACTAATTGCTAAATTGTTATTTATTCAATTATTTAAAATAGATTTCTAACTATTTTTGTTTTTTTCCCTCACAAGCAGAAGTTCCCTCCTTGTAACTTCTACAGCTGCATCATTGAGAGCATCTTGACCAGCTGCATCACTGTCTGGTATGGCAGCACTACTGCTATGGACCGCAAGCACCTGCAGAGAGCAGTA